CAGCTGCCCTTTTAGCCCAAGAAAGCTCTAAACTAACTTTTAGGCAACAAACAGTCAAGACCTTCTCAGCCATAAGGCCAAGTCAATTCTCTCCCTTTCACGCCTACAACTTATTCACCTTACTTTGATTGAAAACTCCCAGTTCTCCTTTAAACCTTGCCCTCCCTTAAAATCCAGCCACTCTCATCCCAAAACACACATGACCCTTAGAACACAATTGCATGGAGGCTTTAGACTCTTTCTCAATCCCTTTCCACACATCTCCCCGCATCCCATTACATGGCCCTAACATACATGGTTCATAGATGGGAGCACCACCTCCATGCCTGCCCCCCGGCGGGTTATGCCATAGTAAATCTAACACAAACTATTGAGGCTGCCCCCCTACCCCCTAACACCACTTCCCAACAGGCAGAAGTTATTGTTCTCACCCATGCTCTCACTCTAGCAAGTAACAAATGAGTCCATATATACACTGACTCTAAGTATGCTTACCACATCCTACACTCCCGCGTGGCCATGTGGAAGGAGAGAGGATACATGATCACTCAGGAAGGGCCCATAAAAAATGGACATCTTATCAAGATACTTTTTGAGGCTGCACAACTCCCAAAGGAGTTTGGGGTTATACATTGCAGAGGACACCAAACCTCCAAAGACCCCATAACCCAGGGAAACAAACTGGAGGATCTAACTGCAAAACAGACTGCTCAATCACCAGGCTCCCACTCTTCCTCTCCTGCTCAAGTCCTTCTCATGGCCCCTATGCCCTTATCCCAATACACACCCCAAGAAATACAACACCTTCAACAGTTGGGGGCACAGAGAAAGGACAACTTGTATACTCTTCTCCAGTCACTGTGTCCTCCCTACTACACAAGCTGAGCAAATCCTTTTAGAGTTCCATAATTTAGTTCATATAGGCTGTGAACTCCTACTATGCCTTCTTCAGCCCTTATATTATTCTCCCCACAAAAGGACACGCTGTCTTCTAACCTTAGTAGATACCTTTTCAGGATGGTTTGAGGCTTTTCCCTGAACTTCAGAGGATGCTACAGCAGTAATGTATGCTGTCACCTCAGAAATAATTCCTCGTTTTGGCCTACCCACCAGTCACTCACTTGCCTACGGGCTGCCCCCCGCAAGCCCACAGGGCTCAGCTCCCTTGAACTTATGTATAGTAGGCCCTTCACTCTCACACCTCTCCCTTCCAGCTCATCACCTTTAGGCCAATATCTCTCTACTCTTTCGCTCATTAGGGATCTTTTTAGGGAACAGGCCAACCTTCTCTCATCCTTTCCCCAACACCCTCTCAGACTTTAAAAAAAAAATTTTTTTTTTCCTTTTTGTCTTTTTTACTGACCGGTAACGGGACTGCAACCCTCGGTGTCGTGCCCGTACCGGGGACCGGCAACGGGATCACAACCCTTGGTGTTGCGCCCGCACCGTGCTCAGCCAGTGAGCGGGAACCAGTCTCCACGTGGGATCCGAACCCTGGGCAGGAGCGCCGCTGCGCTCCCAAGTGGCACACTCTCCAGTGCGCCACCGGGCCGGCCCTAAAAAAAATTTTTAATTTTTCTTTCTTTCTAACTGGTAAGGGTATCGCAACCCTCAGCACAGTGTTGTCTGGACCACGCTCAGCCAGTGAGCGCACTGGCCATCCCTATATAGGATCCGAACTTGCGGCCTCGGTGCTACCAGTGCTACACTCTCCCGAGTGAGCCACGGGGCCGGCCCACCCTCTCAGACTTTAAACTGAGCCTGGGACAGCAAGTATATATTAAGACCCGAATCCCAAAGCCTCTCTCATCATGTTGGGAAGGGCCTTATATAGTACTTCTTGCCACCCATGGCAGTAAAAGTACTAAGAAAGGCCCCCTTGGTAAAACTTATCCTTGGTAAAACTAGCATCTGAGACTTTACTCCCAAATCCTTTGTAAAACTACATTATCTTGTTGCCTGCCCCCTAACACGATTTCTTGCATATTCTTTTGGCTCGTCCCTGACATCACCCTCCAGACAGATGGAGAGATGGAGATGGGATTGGGACTAACTTCGGCCCCCCCCTCAGGAAGTGCCCCCTGCACCCTTAGGGCACTAATTGTACCTTTTAATTGGGGAAGGGATCCTTCCTGCAACTGGAACTGGCATAGCGGGCCCTGCTACTGCCTCTGAATTCTATTACAAACTCTCAGCATAGATAGCATCTCCTCCCTCCAGTGACAAGTCACCTCACTCGTGATAATTGCTTTACAGAACTGTTGCGCCCTTTACTTCCTTACAGCTGAGAAGGAAGGCACCTGCCTCTTTTTGGGGGAGGAATGCTGTTGTTACGTAAATGAGTCCGGGGTGATCCAAAACAACTTAAACCATTTCACTAAACCCTTGGATACCCTGGCTTATGCCCCTACAAGGACTCCTAACTGTGTGTGCCTCATCCTGCTTTTTGGTCCCTGTCTCTTTTGGTGTTTCTCTAATTTCTTTCAGGAATGTATGCAGGCTTTCACCAACCAAAGGTCGCCGAATTGTCCCTGCAAGAAGGATATCAGCCCCTCAGAATCAGCGACCCTTCCCTGGAGGAACACAGCCTCCCAACACAAAACCAATACCCGGCCACCTAATCTTTTATTTTTTCCATATCTTTACCCATCTCCATTAGGAAGTAGCTTCAGAAGAATGAGACCTCCACCCTTTCCCCCTTTTTCCTATACTTAAAAGGCAGGAATAATAGATCTGCAACATAACCAGTACCACTTTACACAAGCCCAAGTACAAAATGGCACCGCCTGCCTCCTCTCCTCCTCTCCCCTCTTCCCTTTATGAGAAGCCTCCTGCCTTAAACAGAAACCCCTTTTGCTTCCACAAGGATGCAGTTCTCCGCCTCGATCCACATTAGCATAATGACCCTCCTTGATGGTATCAGCCAGCCCTTGGCTCAGTATATAAGCTCTACCACCCCCACACGTGGTGCTGTCCCCTTTCCAGGGCAGCCCTGGGCTGCCTGCTACTTTGAGCACAGCCCAGCAGATTTTCTTTCTTTAATAAAGCTTGAACGGTACCTGCCATCTCGGCTCACTTTCTTTCAAGCTATAGCTTTTTAAATTTTTAAAATTTTTTTGTGGCTGTCCAATACTGGGATCTGAAGCCTTGACCTTGGTGTTATAGCACCATGCTCAAACCAACTGCTGAGCTAACTGGCCAGCCCTTATTATCTATAACTCGTCCTTTTGTTATCTTAATGGTTGCTTCAGTATATATTATATGATTTTAACTTATCACAGTCCACATTATACCACATCTCACATATGGTACAAGAAAATTACAATAGTATATTTTCATTTCTTATCTCCCTGCCAGATCCTTCCTGGATCTGTGGGATTGTAGTTTTCATTAAGTGTAGAAAGTTTTGGGCCATACTTTCTTCAAATTTTTTTTTTCTGTTTCTCTTCCTGCCTCTTTAGAGACTTATTTACTAGGTGCTTGAAGTTTTCTCACTGATGTGTCAAATTTATGAATCTTTTCTTTTGCAATGTCTAATCTGTATTTATTTCAATGTATCCAGTGTAGTTTTTATCTCTGACAGTGTAATTTCCATTCCTACAAGTGCAATTTGGTTTTAAAAAATATTTTCCATGCCTTTAGTTATCTTCTTGAGCTTTAGTTTGGGATACAGTTAAGTTACTTATAAACAACTTGATCTTCCAGTGTAGTTTTTATCTCTGACAGTGTAATTTCCATTCCTACAAGTGCAATTTGGTTTTAGAAAATATTTTCCATGCCTTTAGTTATCTTCTTGAGCTTTAGTTTGGGATACAGTTAAGTTACTTATAAACAACTTGATCTCTTCCAGTCTTGCTTTTATGATTTGGTACGTGGATCAGGACAGTGCTCAGCATAGGGCTAATTTCCCACTACTGAGGCAAGAGCTTGCTGATATTCATTGTCCTGTGAATTATGAGCTTTTCCAGCTTGGCTGATGGGAATGGACACTCTTCCTGGCACTGCATGGGCACCAGGCATGGTTTATTCTAATCTTTTTAGATGATATTTTCCCTCAGTCTTGGGTGGTTTTCTTGCACTGTTCATTACTCGGCTAACAAGCCAAGGGGGGCCCTCTTCAGATCTCCAGGGTTCTTTTACTGTACTGGTTTTTCATCTCCTGTATTCTGTCCTATGATCTTTGCCGTGGTTTTACTGGACTCTCAGCTTCATCACCTGAACTCAAGAAGTCTAGTAGACTCTTGCTCAGTTGGTTCTCCCTGTGTTGTGGCCTGGAAACTTTCTCAAGGCAGGAAACTGGGGCATTTGTGAGTCTTACTTTATTTTTTGCCTGTCTTTAAGGGATCAGTGTCCTCATTGCCTGAAGCCCATTGTTTCAAAAATTTTTGTTTTATGTGTTTTGTGTGTTTTGTTTTTGGTCATTTCAGGTAGGAAGGTAGATCAGTACATATCACGTCATCTTGGCTGGAAGCACATTGCGATGGAGCTTCAGCATGGGGTGTAGACTGGCTAGACTGTTCTACTCCCCCTTTGTCTAACTGTTTCCCACTCATCCTTCATTTCTCAGAGTAGCCATCTCTTCCACAGGGAAATCTTCGCTGGGCTAGTGTAGATTTAATTTTCTTATGTGATCATAACATCTGTTTCCTTATAGCAGCTATTTAAATTTATAATTATCATTTTATTTATCTTCTCCACTAGACTTGAAGCTAAATAAGAGCAGGGGTGTTTTCTGTTTTATCTGCAGACCTTAGCTTAATGTCTTCCACATTGTGGACACTCAATAAATATTTGTTTAGTGTGTGAATAAGTGAATGTGGAAATGCTTTTATATACAAAAAGTGCTCATATATTTTATTTCTATCTTGTTTTCTCCCTGATATAGATTCTGTTAGCCTGTTGAAAATCCAGGATGCAATTCTTTCATATGAAAGATCAATAGAACTTAAAAAAAATCACTGTGAGCTACTTACAAGAAAAATTAAAAATATGGAAAGTAAGGTTAGTGGACTCCAAAAGGAGTTGTCAGAAACAAAAGAAATGAAATCACAGTTAGAGCATGAAAAAGTGGAATGGGACCGAGAATGCTGCAGTTTGAGGTATGACATCCTATTTTTAAAGAAATGTTTAACTATTTACTTTATACTTCAGAGATGTCAGGGAATTTTGTAACTGCTAATTTACCTTCTGGGGTTTTAGGGGAGAAAACGCATTATTCTTGTGGTGTGCGAATTTCTTAGAAATAATATAACAAGTTCTTAACTATGAATACTTCTACCAATAATTAAATGCATATTCTTTCTATTTATCATTTTAATGGCTAGATGGAATTCTACCATATGGAAATCTCACTACTTATTTAACAAATTAATTTTTTGTGTGTATTATAATTAATGCTGCAAGGAAAATCTCAGATATAAATCATTTTCTACTTTTCTGATTATTTACTTTGAATAAATTATTTCATATAGAATTATTTGGTTAAAGTATAGGAACTTTTTAAAAGGTCTTTGATGAATATTTCTACAAATGTTCTCAAGAAAGTTTATATTAATTTACAATTCCACCACCAGAGTATGAAATGGCCACTTTTCTAGACCCAGATAATGTTTTAAAAAATTTATACAGTTCTTTTCTTAGCATGCATGGAATTAAAAAGTAAAAAAAAAAAAAAAAAAAAAAAAAAAAAAAAGTAAAAAGGAAAGTGTTTACTGATGATTTTATTCAACATCTTTCTCATACATAGATAAAATTAATTCAGAGTTCTCTGATGAAAGCACATATTATTCTTTATTGTTTAATTAAGTACTAGATTCTCATTTGTTCCAAAAAGGATTTTTAAATTGTTTATAAAATACATATTAATCAACAATATAAGTTGAAAGTGCTACAAAAAAACCCAAAAAACATAAAATGTGTGGGGTAACAGTCTCATTAGCCTAGTCTTAGAATAAAGTAATCTGCACATGTATGTGGTGTGAGAGACCTCTGAAGGTGCTACTTACACTGTAAGTTACCTGTAATATTTCATGAAGATGAAATTTTTTCCTTTTTCATAATATTTACCAGAGTTACTAATAACAGAAACTTACCAATTAACGGCATGTTGTTTCATTGCTCCATTTCAAGTGTATATGTCCTTGGGAAGAGATTAAAGTGAGACATGAAAAATATGAGAACTAGGAAGGAAAAATGTTTGAGAACATAGAAATTTTGTTAGGATAATAAACCAACATATGAAGAGCCAGATGACAATATAAAGTTTTATTTTCTAACAAAATGAATTTTCAGATAAGCATGTTTAATTGCAGATTTGCCCTAAAACAAGAAAAAGAGAAGAGAAGAAATGCTGACATGTTGTATGAAAAACTTAGACAACAGTTACGAAGGAAAGAAGAGCAGTACAGTGAAGAAGTTGAAGGGAAACAGCAACTTGAAATGACTCTGAGAACACTAGATATGGAATTGAGGACTGTCAGAAATAATTTGAATCAGGTAAATTAATCTTTGGTAAAAATTTTGTATTTTAAATTTTATTCATCCACATTACTTATTTTTTTACTTAACATATATTATTTAGGTTTAAAAAAAACCAAAAAATGTTGTCTCATCCTAAAAGTGAACTATTACATTTATAGCTAAAATTATTTATTATAAATCTTGGCATCTAACAGATCCTCAGTATGTATTTTCTGAATGAAGGAATGAAGGTAGGTTGAGTTCAATCACTAACATAAATGTTAATTTAGGCATTTTTATGCTAAAACAGACTGAATAGCTTTGAAAGTATAATTAAACTAGTCGAATTTTGTTAAGGAAATTTTATTGTGCAATGTTGTATCTGCCTGTGTTTAAGAACTGTTTTTACTTTTGATAAATTTTGTTGTCATTTATGCCATTAAAATGTGAATAATCCATGTGAGATAGAGGTCATTGTGCTTTAATAGGCTACTTCCTTTTAACAGTTTTTTTTTTTTAAAGGGTCTGCTCTTAATTAAGCTTTTAGACTTTTTTTTCCATGGTGTGAGATCAAAAACTTAATGAAGTGTACCGCTAGGTCGTAGAAGAGCGAAATGACATCCAGAGGCAACTTTCTCGAGAACAGAATGCCAGAGTATTACAAGATGGTATTCTGACCAATCACCTGTGCAAACAAAAGGAGATAGAAATGGCTCAAACAAAAATGAATTATGAGGTATTTTCTTTAGCAGTTTTCAAATATGTGCATGTATGTATTTGTATGAGTATATGTTTAAAAAACCAATTACATGATCATGGGATGTATAGGGGATTTTTAAATCATATATACATATATATTCTGGGGTGGAGGAGGGGGTGGCATTTTGGGCCCATTGGATAAAGTAATGTTCTTCACTGAACTCCATTTGTCTGCTACAGTCAAGTAGTGACATTCACAGTGCCCTCATCCAAAGGAGAGGCTTTTAAGACTTTCCACAGGAATTGATGATCTTTCCATAATCTCAAACCCTTGCTACTAACAAGAGATGTTCTAGTTTCTGGCAGCGATATCACCCCCTTGATATATTAATGGAGAGGTTAGTTTTTCACTTCCACTGATAGGTAAGGAGGAGAGGTATAGGCAGTGCAGAAACCTTCTTTTGGGTGTCATTCTCCTCTCTTGAGAAGAGTAACAGTTTGCTTCAAGTGGTATCCTATTTCAGTACAAAGAGCTCTTGAAAACAATGATATACCATAATATGTACTTAGTGATAATTTATTGATCAGTGTTTTGTTTCTAGTAAAATAGTTCAGTGTATTTCCTCCTATTTCACATTTTCAAACATTTTGAAGAGGAAGCAAAAATTATTGCAATAGCAAATAATTTCATGATTTTCTAAGAACAGCTCTCTAAATATTACCTTATTTACCATTAGTGTTTTGAAACCTAAGGCTTCTTTTGTATTTACATATTTACACTGCAGAAGTAACTGTGGTTTGGTGGAAGAACACTAGAAGTAGAGTCAGACGACCTGGGGAAAATCCTGCAGTTTTTTACATTTTTAACCTCGCCTTTTCAGAATTGTGATTACTAACTGAGATCACTGTTATATGTAGAAGTGCTTAGTACAATGCCTCGATTTATCACTTATCAATAAATGTAATTCTTTTAACTGACTAAAAGAGGGTACTTCAAAAAGTCATGGAAAAATAGAATTAAAAGGTAATGTGAATCTTTCCATGAACTTTTTTATAGTACCTTTGTGTATGTGTGTGTGTCTGATTAGATATGAGTGTAAAACCCCAATTTTTAATGTAATCAAATTAATCAGTCTTCTATGCCTTTGGCTATGTTGTAATTCAGAGAAAGGCTTTTCAAATTCTGATATTCTTAAAAATTCTCTCATGGTTTCTTTCTTATTTCTGTGGATCCATTGTTTTCAATTAAATTTTTGAACTTTGGGGAATTTATGCTTCTATAAATAAGATTTGAGGTTTGAACTCAATTTGTTTTCCAGTTCAGTATCCACTTATTGCACCGTTTCATTGTGTAAACATTGAGGTCATTCCTTAATTTCAGAGGAAATCATCTTATTGAGTGCTAGCTAAAAGTCGCCTTTGTTTTACTCAGGTTTCTGATAGTCATAACAAAGATCTGCTGCACAAAAATCACATGTTGCAGGATGAAATTGCCATGCTGAGACTGGAAATAGACACAATAAGAAATCAGAACCAGGAAAAGGAAAAGAAATATTTTGAGGACATTGAAATTATAAAAGAAAAGAATGATGACCTTCAAAAGACAATAAAACTGAATGAGGAAACATCAACAAAAACAATATTGCAGTATACTGGACAGCTTAATGTTCTGACAGCTGAGAACACAATGCTAAATTCTAAATTGGAGAATGAAAAGCAAAATAAGGAAAGACTGGAAACAGAAGTTGAATCATACCGTTCTAGACTGGCTGCAGCTATACAAGATCATGATCAAAGTCAGACATCTAAAAGAGACCTAGAACTTGCTTTCCAGAGAGCAAAAGATGAGTGGTTTCGTTTACAGGACAAAATGAATTTTGATTTGTCTAACCTAAAAGATAACAATGAGTTTCTTTCCCAACAACTTTCTAAAGCTGAAAGTCAATCTAATAGCCTAGAAATTGAGCTCCATCACACAAGAGATGCTCTCAGAGAAAAAACTTTGGTTTTAGAACGTGTACAAAGAGACCTAAGCCAAACACAGTGTCAAATGAAGGAACTTGAACACTTGTATCAAAACGAACAAGGTAAAGTGAATAAATACATTGGAAAGCAGGAATCTATAGAGGAGAGATTATCTCACCTGCAAAGTGAAAATATGTTGCTTCGACAGCAACTGGATGATGCTCACAACAAAGCTGACCGTAAAGAAATGATAGTAATTAATATACAAGACCAATTTCATGATATTGTAAAAAAACTTCAAGCTGAGAGTGAAAAACAAAGTCTTATGCTAGAAGAGAGAACTAAGGAGTTAATCAATAAATGTAATCATTTAAAAGAAAAACTGCATCAGTATGAAAATGAGAAAGCAGAAAGAGAAGTAAGTATCAAGAAAGATAAATATTTTTCAAACTTCTGAAAAGTAAATTAAAAGTAATATTTGATTATGGCTAAATGTTGAATCTAGTTGAGTATAAAAATAGATTATAAATGTATTTGCTATATCAGCTTAGAAATGTAACTTGTTTCCAGCAAATAAAAGTTAGACCTGAGAGATGCTTTACTTTGAATAAAGATTGTGTCACCTATAAAATGTTGAGGTTAAGTACAAATTGTTACTAGATATAGACTGATATTTATAATGTAGTCTTATGCTGCTCAAATAATAATTTTAATGTCCTTATTTTATCATATTTTAAGACCATGATGAAGCAGATAAATAGAAATGCTTATACCTAAAATGAATATTTTGAGGCGAAGATTCAGTTAAGTGGGCTACCTTGACAATTTATTCCAGATTTCCCAGATGAACTAAAGGGTAGATGCTGTATTTCATAACACCTTTTGTTCAGTAGCTTTTTATATATTTTTAGATGGTGTAATTTTATTTTTATTCATGTCAATTTGACTTAAGTCTGGAAATATTGCAGTCTCAAGTTATGTGTTCTTATGACCTCTCAATTCTTTAATGGCATCTACTTTTCATTAAATCATAATTTGGGACAAATGTGTTGAATTTTAGCAAAACCACATTTTATCTTCCCACTGGTATTTATAATTTACTTGGAACATTTTTATAAAGAAGTTGCTCATTTATTTTCATTTCAAGGCTCAGTTACTATCATTTGGATATTGCAGTCTAGTACAAAGATAATTGTAGCTATCTTTATTTTAATTTGGCATTGGATCCCCATTTCAGACTAATAAAGGGTGGCAGGATTCTGTATAGCAGGAATAAAGTAGGGGAGAGAGTTGTAGGAGCTGAGGTCAAGGAAGGAGATAGCAGCCAGGTTACCCCTAGCATCTTAAAGGTTAGTGGAATTTCACTTTTATTCTGAGATAAGAGTCTATTTGAAGGATTTGAGCAGGGTATCAAGTATGTGAGGAACTCTGAAATTGATTTGAGCCTCAAATAAAATAGAGGGAAAATGTTCCACATTGTGGAATTTACCACTTCCAAGTCCCACTCACATAGCCATTTTTTTTTTTTTTTTTTTTTTGAGACTTCAGTAGGTCATGAAGCATTGCAAATTCATCACAGGAAGAATGGCTAGTAGGCTGAACCTATTGTCTGAGTGACATAATACTGATTAGGCAGAATGATAGCACCTTCTTTGTCCTTAACTGAATTCAGTAATAAACAGGAATGTGTACACATGAGGAAAAGAAGGTGAATTGATGTATGTGGTGATATTTTTCAAAGTATTTGTTAGAGTTAAATATTGTTACCATAATTTAATAATAAGGTGATTTATGAAATCAGTAACAGAAATATCTTATCAGATGGTTGTGAGACAACTTCAACAAGAACTGGCTGATACCCTAAAAAAACAGTCTATGTCAGAGGCTTCACTGGAGGTTATATCACATTATCGCATTAATTTAGAAGACGAGACACAGGATTTAAAGAAGAAATTAGGTCAAATCCGAAGTCAGGTATGTAGGAAGTTTAATATGTCAACAGTTAATCTATATCTGGTTAAATAATATAAAGTGCTTTAGGATACAATGGGCAGCTCTCTTTGCATTTTCATTACAATTTTATTATCTTTATAATACCTTTATTTCTTAAACTCTGACTTTCATCTAGTTTTTTTCATAACTACACAGATTTTTAAAAAATAGTATTTACCCTTTGGAAAGTTGAGAATGACACATCATTCTTCACAGAAGTTGAAGGACGTTTTTTCTCTTAAACAGTACTTTTTAGGAATATTTTCATTGCCAAGGTGAGGCAAGCAAGATTAAGTCAGAGGATAATGTTTCATGGAATGTTCCAGAAAATTGTCTTATTTCTCATTTTCACATTTGTGAATAGATACAGGGTCTGTATATATTAATTTAATGGAATTTAGGATAAGTTGTGCAGAAAGGTCATTATACTGTTCTCCAAAATCCATATGTTTTAGGTTAATTTACAAACTATTTGAAAAGTTAAGCATTTCCTTCATTTTCCTTTCATTTTAGATAATATCCAGATCATGTATAGTATGTAAATCCAAAATAGAGAATTAAGAAAATTATCTAGATCCCACCATTAGATTTTTATTCTTTTAAAAAAATTTTTTATCTTTGCTTTTATTTCTGCTATTGGATTTTTAAAAACAATTTTATTGAGATATAATTCTCATACCATAGAGTTCACCCATTTATACAGTTCAGTGTCTCTTAGTATATTCACACAGTTCTGTAACCATTGCCACAATCAATTTTAGAACATTTTTATCACCCTGAAAAGAAACGCTGCATCCCTTAGCACCTCCCCTTCTGTTACTTCTTGCTGAGTGTCAAATGCAAAGATTACTCAGAGCCCAAGTATTCAGAGCAATGAGAAGCCCAAAGGGACTGCACACAGGGAAAACTCCTTCAAGAGAGAGGAGCTGCCTTTGCTCAGGGTCACACAGCTAATAACTTTTGGAGCTGGGATTCATACCCAGGCATTCTGGCTTCTGAGTAGATACTGCCTCTCAAACTATTCCACAAAACATGTAGTTGTCACCTGTCTCATCATGTTAGTTTTTATAATCAGTGGCATGGCCATGGTCATTCACATATATGAATATTTAAAATTACTGTTGAAGTTCTGGTGCTTGGAATACAAAAATATAAATGCTTACCATAAAGTAATTTCCTATCTTTCCCCATTTGACCAATTTTATAAATTTGAGTATTGAATTTTTAAATATAATTTAAAAACAAGAATAATGTTGTGTTTTAGCCCTACAGCATGGGTAGGTAAACTTTTCTGTAAAGGGCCAGATGATATTATTTTCAGCTTTGTGGGTCATAAGGTCTGTGTTGCAACAACACAGCCGTGCAGTTACAGCACAAAAGAACCATAAACAATATGCAAATGAAGGGCTGTGGCTGTGTTCCAATAAAGATTTTTTGTTTGTTTTAGCTGCAAGACGCACAGGATCGACATACAGAGGCTGTAAGATGTGCTGAGAAGATGCAAGATGACATGCAAAAGTACAATTTAAAGCAGCACACAAGCTGTCTTGAGTTTTTATAAAGCATATAAGCAGAGTAGTATGAAAATTTTGTCAGTTGTGATACTAAATACAAGTGTGAAGCAAGGGAAACATTTCAGCTTAAAGCTACTTGGAATTGCATAATTTTTGCACATTATCTAAATTTTACATATTATCTACAAAACACAGTTAGAAAAATGTATAGTTACCAAATCATCTACTTTTCAAATTTTTAAGAATTTGTGTAGGCTGGTTGGTTATCTCAGTTGGTTAGAAAACAGTGTTATAACACCAAGGTCAAGGGCTCAGATTCCCATACCAGCCAGCCACCAAAATTTAAAAAAAAAAAAAGAAAAGAAAAAAAGAATTTTTGGAATTATACTTTCAGACGTTTGTTTAGAAATTACATGGTATGGTATTTTAAATTTTTTAAAATTTATTTTATAAAGTTTATTTTTTCAACTTCTCTGCAAAATCACTAATTATGTTGTAATAATCAAGATTTTGAAGATTTAAAAATTTTTTCTATTTTAATTAAATTTTTAATACATTAACAGTGCAGTTTTAATGTTATTAAATTAATACTTATTTTAATTTGTGTCTGCCTTTTGTTTTTTTAAGTAAAATTTTTATTTTGCCTTGTGCCTTTAATAAGTACTTTTCAGCATTTTAGAAGACTAACTTTTCTGAAAACATGTAAAATTTTTTTTTAGATTTTTACTTTTTTTTCTACTTTTTTACATTTTCAACACTGACTTTAGTTTGCATTTTTGATGGTATGAAATATGAATATATGAAAATATATATACATTTTGAATAAATACATGGTATTTTTTAATCCATGACAATAATTATTTTTAAATATACATTTTAGGCTTGAAATGGAAAATTCCAATTTAAAAGCTACAATTGAAAAGCAAGTGGGCAAAATTGAACAGCTTCAGAAAAACTTGTTAAAGGCAAGTTCAGTAAGTCAATCTCTTAATTTTTATCATACTCAAGGAATTTTTATTTCTCTAATAGCATATAATATTTTAGACAAGTCTTATTGGTAAATAAATATATGGTATTCATATTGATACTATTTGCTACTAGAAGTGTAAGTCCTTTTGATCTTATAGAAAAAATTGACTGAATACATAAAATTAATGATTTGGGTGATAAGATCTTTAAAAAAAGATTGTGATAGTCTAGAAACTATTTTATATATACCACATTTTGTTTATCCAGTCATTCACTGATAGGCATTTGGGTTATTTCCATCTTTGGATACTGTGAATAATGCCACTGTGGACATTGGTGGACAACTATCTGTTTGAGTCACTGCTAATATTTTATATCTTTTAAAATTCCTCTTGTAATCTAAACTCTTCAGTGAGATTTGGAGAACGAATTACATTTAATGTTGTAATTTGTATTTCTCGTCAAGAATGGATAGATACTATGTCATTATACAAGCATTTTTTTCCCCCAAAGAAATGTGTTTTCTATTTGGATATTAAAAAAAGAAAAGAGGTGCTAGTGAAAAAGTAGAAAAAGAGCCTTACAGAATAAGTAAGTGCTCCTAGCATTGTAGGTTCACAAACTACTTTCTGTTCATCTGTGTTCATCAGCCTTTCAAAGACTTAACAGTCCAATCTCAGAAAAGATTGATGTGAAATCCAGGATACCAATTTATTGATGTATAGTGAAAGCTACATGAGGGTACTTCAGAAAGTTCATGGAAAAAATAGAAATAAAAGATAATATAAATCTTTCCATGAACTTTCTGATGTACCCTCGTATAGCTATTCACTGAGCAGAACAGGGATTCTCCTTTCATTCATGCTGTCCTTTCTAGGAGTTAAGATCAGAAGATTGCACTGTGAACACTAAATTGGACCAATGAGGTAGATGCTCCTACTAACTAATTTAAATCACAATAGCTAGATTCATGTCACTCCATTATACAGATATATCTATCAGGGGAACTAGAACATTTGTGTTGACTAGCCTTTCTCGTGGCTGAAGAAACACTGAAAAAATATTTTTTTCTTAACTTCACAGAAATTAGTCCCATTTTATTAGCATACTTTTCATACAAGTGATGTGACAGTATGTTGATAAGGAGTCTTCTGTGAATGAGAGTGCCAGGAGACATCCCCTTACACATAAGTGTCATACAGAAATATATTAAGGTATCAAAAATTAAAAAATTTTTAAGAGTACCCCAAATATATTAACCTTATTTAAAACTAATAAGGGTATGCAAAAGAATGAACTCCTGAGGTACACTAAACTAGGATGAACCCGAAGCCAGACACAAAATACTAGATATTGTATGATTCTGTTTCTAAGAATTTCTGGCAGAAGAAAACTATGGGGACAAAAACTGATCAGTGGTTGCCAGGAGTTGGAGTTGGGAGAAAGAGTTGGCTACAAAAGAGCACAAGAGGATGTTTTTAAGTGACTGAGTTCATACATTATGATTGTATTGGTGGCTGAGAATGTAATGCAAGCAATATATAACTGTTAGCAAATTCAATCCAGTAGGAAATAAGGTAATATGGCAAAGTTTGCTGTTTACTAAAACCACTTTTCCCTTGTACTTTGACACAAGGTAAACTACATTTCCTAGGTTCACTCGGAATTGATCTGGTCATGTATTGAGTTGTATCCGAGGGAACATGGGCAGGGGAGATGTGTGGGACTCCCAGACTTCATGCTCCTTCTTCTACTGGATCTTGATGGAATGCACAGGGTGACTTAGGGAGTCATGATGAAAGGAGTTTGGTATTTACGGAAATGAGAAAATTAACCCTCTTTTATGATAGGCCTTTAAAATGCTGAAAGTTTTCTATTACAATTGTCACTATTATCTTAACAAATACAGGAACTTGGTTTATAACTCTATTCTGGAGTTCCAGTCAAGATGGCAGAGTAGACAGTCATCAGCATCACTCTTTCCCACAAGTCAACCAATTTACAACTATAAAAATGTAACATCAGACAAACTGGGTTTCCTGGAGCTCAGGGGAAGAGGAGGAGAGACCTACGGAGTTCATGAAGGCAGGAGAAACCATGATGAGAGAAAGAAAAACCTTCTCTGAGTGTTTCGGACCGCAGCTGCTTTAAGGCTTCAGCTGCTGAGTGCATGGAGCAGGAGCCGGCAGAAGCTGCAGCTGTGCCCTTCAGGTGGAGTTACTTGGAGGTGGCAGGCAAGAAGAGAGCCTTGGTGGCCTCCAGGACAGCAAGACCACTAACTAATAGGGTTCCTGTGGACCCATGCAGGAGCGAGGAGCCATAATAGCTGTAAAAGGGGAGCCATTCAGAGGCCGGTGAGTCATCGCAAGGGACTGGCGCAGGGCCTGTCCCATGGGAAGTATTTAGAGCATGGGTGGTGGGGGAGACAGGCCCACCGGGAGAACACAGCAAGGACAGCTGATCTGCCCCCCAGTCAGCACAGGTCCACTCAGAGGAGACTGGTCGGGAATGCAGAATTGCATAGGATGCAGTTTGATGAAAAAACTCAGGCCCAGGGGCCGGCCCGGTGGTGCACTGCTACAGTGCGCCGCTTGGGAGTGTGGCGACGCTCCCGCTGAGGGTTCGGATCCCACATACAGACCGGTTCCCGCTCACTGGCTGAGCGAGGTGCGGGAGCAACACCGAGGGTTGCGATCCCGTTGCCGGTCCCGGTCCGGTACGGGCGCGACACTGAGGGTTGCGATCCCGTTGCCGGTCCCGGTCCGGTACGGGCGCGACACTGAGGGTTGCGATCCGTTGCCGGACACAGGAAAAGACAAAAAAAAAAAAAAAACTCAGGCCCAGGGGCCGGCCCGGTGGTGCACTGCTACAGTGCGCCGCTTGGGAGTGTGGCGACGCTCCCGCTGAGGGTTCGGATCCCACATACAGACCGGCCGCTCACTGGCTGAGCGAGGTGCGGGAGCAACACCGAGGGTTGCGATCCCGTTGCCGGTCCCGGTCCGGTACGGGCGCGACACTGAGGGTTGCGATCCGTTGCCGGACACAGGAAAAGACAAAAAAAAAAAAAAAACTCAGGCCCAGGGGCCGGCCCGGTGGTGCACTGCTACAGTGCGCCGCTTGGGAGTGTGGCGACGCTCCCGCTGAGGGTTCGGATCCCACATACAGACCGGCCGCTCACTGGCTGAGCGAGGTGCGGGAGCAACACCGAGGGTTGCGATCCCGTTGCCGGTCCCGGTCCGGTACGGGCGCGACACTGAGGGTTGCGATCCGTTGCCGGACACAGGAAAAGACAAAAAAAAAAAAAAAACCTCAGGCCCAGATCAGAGTTTCTACACAACCCAAGTGCATTGGGTCTCTGGAGAGCCGGAAGTACCTATAAGGTCAACCATTAAACCCCGAGCTGCACAAAAAGCTTTCCTTATGGAAACAGCAGCAAAGAAACAATTTAGCTCAACCACACAGCTCAAGTACTGGTTCCCACAGGAAGTTACCCCATTTAAGAAGTAAGCAAAGGACAAAAAATTAGTTCCAGCCCAAGTATACCACCAGCACCTTGGGGCCTGCAAGGGGACATGAGACATGAAGCCAGAGACCGGACCCCACTCCCACATACAGGCATACTGCCAGCACCTTGGGGCCTGCCCAGGGACCCAAGGTATGGAGAAGTGGACCAGATCCCCCTTCCACAACCAGGCACACCACGGCAGTGCCTCAGGGCCTGCCTGGGGACCTGAGGTATGGAGTTGGGGATCAGACACTCCCCACCACCAGGCACACTGCCAGCTCCAAGAAGCATGACAAAAACATCACCTCCGTGTGGGTGGCCCACCACAGCCATCACCATGACCATGGCTGCTGCGAAAGCAACTAGATGGCACACCTACCACGCAGATGGTCCACCAGCCTCTGGAGTGCATTGACACAAGGAGAGTCACCAGCAGAGACCAAAGAAAAGAAGAGCATGTCTCTCTCCACAAAGCCCATTTCATAGTGACAGAAGCAGCATCTGCTCTATGATAGTATTGTGGGACCTGATCACATCTCTCAGCATTGGACAGATCATCTAGGCAACAAATCAACAGAGTAACCATTATTCTTTCAGAAGGAGAGAAGAAATCTAGGGTAATTAGATGGGGGAGAGGGGATAGAGAAGGGGAGGGGGAGAGATTGGACAAGGAGCATAAAGAATAATTACAATTTGTAACAATATATATGCTAGTAATATTGATTTGATCAACATATCTCAATGTTGAACCCCAAAAATATGTATAGACAATTTTGATTCAATAAAAATTTTAAAAAAGAAAAAAGAATAAAAAATAATTTAAAAAAAAGGGGGATGGAAAGGGACAGGACTAAGTAAACATGAGGGGTTTCTGCATTTAGAAATGAAGTGGGGTTAGAGGAGTAGAGGAGGGGATGTGGTCCTTGTTAGCAGCTGCTGAGAAGTGAAGTAGGATAGTGACTAAAAAAAGTCCTTTGTGACCCTCAGATTTTTTTTCATTCAAATTTATAGGACAGAAAAATCATATTTAAATGTGTCTAGATTTTTAAAAATAATTTTCTTAAAAATTTTTTTTTCAAGTCTGAGGATGAAAAGGAACAATTTAAGAAACTTCTTGCATCAAAACAATCTCTGGAATCTAATTTGGATCAAGAAATGAAAAAAAATGATGAATTAGAAAAAGAGATAATTGGGTAAGATTTTAATATTGTAGATCATTTCAACTATTTAGTAATTTATTTAACTGTAATTTTACTTTGCTTTATTAAAACCTAAATATAAGTTCATTTTATCAGCACCACACTCTCCCGAGTGAGCCACGGGCCGGCCTATAGGTTCATTTTATACCTGCAATTCCATAACTAAGGAAAATATTCTGTTTTAAAATTTACTTCAGAAATTCACAGCACAATCTGAAACTTTTTTGAATGCCGAAATATTATAGTTACTGGTTAATAATTTTGAGAACAACAAGGACAGTGCCTTTGACATATAATGTCAACTGCAATCTTCATCATCTCCCTTGAATTTTTATTTCTGAAGATATTTTTGTTCTCTTTGTTAATCTTTCTTTCTCTTTATAGCGTTCTTTCCCTTAAGCATTTGAAGACATTTATATCTAAAACCCTGTGTCATTCTTTAAAAACATCAAAAATTATCTTGATATACATTATATTTTCTTTCTGTGTCTTTCTTTTTTTTTAGTTATAAAATATATCATAAAAAAAAATATCATGGGGATGTACTCATTTTCCACAAGTATCTCCCATGTATACATGAGGCATACCTGTTATCAGTCTTGCGTTTCTTTAAAAAAAATACATATATATGTATCAGGCATACAAAAATATATGTATGATTTAAGAAGTCTAAAATGAGCAATTGTGTTTCTACTACCCAGATTTTTTTTTTGTCCTTTTTGAGGCCGGCCGCACTGCGCTCAGCCAGTGAGCGCACTGGCCATCCCAATATAGGATCCGAACCCGCAGGCTCCCAGCGCCGTACTCTCCCGAGTGCGCCACGGGCTCGGCCCCTACCCAGATTTTTAAAATGGAATATTTCCCAGTGTTTTAAAGCCCCCAACATGGCTGCTTTTTTATTTACTTGCTGAATACTTAAATTTGTTTTCTTTTTTTTTTTTTTCCTTTTTGTCTTTTTTCGTGTCCGGCAATGGATCGCAACCCTCAGTGTCGCGCCCGTACCGGACCAGGACCGGCAACGGGATCGCAACCCTCGGTGTTGCGCCCGCACCTCGCTCAGCCAGTGAGCGGGAACCGGTCTGTATGTGGGATCCGAACCCTCAGCGGGAGCGCCACCACGCTCCCAAGCAGCACACTGTAGCAGTGCGGAACCGGTCTGTATGTGGGATCCGAACCCTCAGCGGGAGCGCCGCCACGCTCCCAAGCAGCACACTGTAGCAGTGCGCCACCGGGCCAGCCCTGTTTTCTGATTCTAATCAATATTTTTCTGTCATTTAACTGTCCTGCATCTCTTTCATTTTTTAAAATTGTGCTAGCAAAGATCTCTAGATCTCTTAAAAGCAATCTAAGTCTACACATTATTTTTCTGCTGATTTCCTTTCTTCTAAAGCCCTATCTGTTTCCTTTTCCCCTCTAGTCAGATTTCAAAGGTGTTTCTTTCCTGTCTTTTTTCCTACTTTGAATAATCTCCTTGATTTTTTTGTGTGTACTTTCTTTTTTCTTGTAGACTATGGTCAATAGCTACCAAAACTTATTTTTGGGCCTTTTTAAGTCATTCATATCTAAGTATGCCTTTCTTCTTCACCTTGGATACTTATCTCTGGGTTATAGCTGATATTTGGTAATAGATTATTTATATTAAGATACTAAAATGAACATCAACTTATTTTTAAGATTTCTGTATATGGTTGCAGTATTAACTCTTTAAAGTATTAACTCTGTTTTTGTCCTATATGTTATAAAAAATTTTATTTTATTTACCTAAGATTATAATTCTGTTAGAATACTTTCAAACAATGGTGGGTTAGAACAAATGACAGAGGATCATAATTTATTCATTCGTTCTTTTATATGATAGAATATAATGTCTGTTGAAACAATTATTTAATATTTACTCTAAAAAACTTGACTTGCTCATTTTGTACATTCTTACAGATTTAAGAAACTCTTAAGAATGACAAGAAAGAAGTTAAGTGAATATGAAAATGGAGAGTTTAGTTTCCATGGAGATATAAAAACTAGTAAATTTGAAATGGATATTCAGATTAATATGCTAAAACATAAGGTAATTTCTAATCAGTTTTGGGACCAGCAAACCACTTAATTTGGGGAATACAAATCTCTCAATGCTTTGAGCTGTGAAATAAAGATTTTTCTTTTCATTTCATAGATTTGATTCCAGTGAAAAAGATTGTTTTTTAATATATCATTTTTCTATAAAAAGGGTGTACCATTGATTCTCTCATGTCTTGAACCCTGGCCAGCAATCTAAAGCCAAGTAGTACACCATTACACGACCCCAAATCAGTAGTACCAAATCAGTTTTCTTGGTAACAGCTTTATTGACATAATTAACATCCCAAGCAATTCATTCGTTTAAAGTATACAATTCAATGGCTTTCGGTTATTCCCACGGTTATGCAATCATCACCACAATCAATTTTAGGACATTTTCTTAACCCTATAAAGAAACCCATACCCGTTAGCTGTCACCCCCGTTTTCCCTTCCCCATTCAGCCCTTGGGAATCAACTTTGTCTCTATAAACTTACCTATTCTGGACATTTCCTATCAATGGAATCACACAGTATGTGGTCTTTCATGTTTGGCTTCTTCCACTTAGCATAATGTTTTCAAGGTTTCATCCGTGTTGTAATATGTATCATTACTTTTCTTATTGCTGCATAGTATTCCATTGTATGGGTATACCATACATTTTAGTTTTAATTTTTGTTTTTTTTTTGGCAGCTGGCCCACATGGGGATCTGAACCCTTGACGCTGGTGTTATAACATCATGCTCTAACCAGCTGAGCTAACTGGCCAGCCCCACCATACATTTTATTTATCCATTCATCAGTCGATGAACCTTTGCATTGTTTCCACTTTTGGCTATTATTAATATTGCTATGAACATTCATGTATAAGTTCTTGTGTTTGCATATGTTTTCATTTCTCTTGGTTATGTGCTCATGGGTGAAATTGCTAGGTCATATAATAATAAATCTATGCTTAACCTTTTGAGGAGCTGCCAGTCTGTTTCTCAAAGTGACTGCACCATAATACCTTCCCATCAGCATTGTATGAGGGTTCTAATTTCTCCACATTCTTGCCAACACTTATTTTCCATGTTTTTTCTTTTTTTCCTTTTTGTCTTTTTTCGTGACCGGTAATGGGATCGCAACC